CTAACTTTAAAACGAAATTAACTATCTTCGTATCGAGATTTGTCCGGGGAAATCGAGCTGAAAGTCAAAATTGCAAAAATTCGCCCACACAGCCGGCGCTGAAGCGATGCTTGAGCAATTTAGATGCTGTTGTTTTACGACCGTTCTTCGAGCTACTGTTATGAATGAACATTAACAAAATAATAAACAGAGAAGTCATTTTTGAAAAATTTAATTGAAAACAAAATTTTTCTGTACTCAAATGAAATTTTCTTTACAATTCCAGCGTAATGTGTCCGTAACTCAACTGAAATTTTTAATCGATGCGATGAAAACTACACAACAAAGCTGTCTGGAATCTGAGCGTGGTTCCTAAAATATTTGCTTGAATTTAACATCAGTTCGACTAAAATGTCAATAACACAATGCTAACTGATAAATTTTGATTTCAAAACAGACTTTCTCTTCTATAACGACACACAAACTGTACCTTAAATCTTTGCTCTTTCGGTTTTTCTTCTGCCGAAACTAACCGCGAAAAAAAAAGTGATAAATTCATCCATGGCAAATTTGTCGCTTGATCTTTTAACTTTTTCTTTTTCAAAACGACAACTGAGTATTTTCTTCAGCTTCCACTTTTCATTTGTACATTTCATCGGTGCACTTTACTGACAGGAGAGGAGATTTGCTGAATTTACCTCAATTTTACCGCGCTAGCTCAGTGTTTTGGCGCGCACCCACTGGCAAATGGTAGATGGCTAACTGACCAATCAGAGCGCACGCTTTACTTTTGTTAGGTTATAAAGACCTATGGAGTGAGCTAAAGCGGCAGAAGATTGCCTGTGTATCCTTCGTAACCACGAAGTGTGACAAGAGGCGTACGGAAGCAGTGAGCCGCTAAAAGTTTTGGGGACATTTTGAGCATCGCCGAAAGTAGCTGGGAATGAAGTTCAAGCTGCAATTTGGAGTGTTGAAGTTAGGTGTTCCAGTTTATACGCACGCTGTAGTCCAATAAAGCGATCATGTCAGTGTTTGATGGTGAGAGGAAGTTAAAAGGGTATCAGGTCAAGTTACGTGTGAATCCCAATGTACCCACGGTGGCTCAGCCAGTCAGGCTCACTCCGTTCAGCCTCCGTGACAAGGTGAAGAAAAAGGTCGAGGAACTGTAAGCAAGGATATTATTGAGCCAGTAAATGAACCGACACCATGGGTTAGTCCGGTAGTGCTGGTATCAAAACAGAATGATGAAATTCGTCTTTTTGTGGACATGCGTAGAGCCAATGAAGCGATAATCAGCCTCAACCAAAGCACAGTGGTTAGCAAGCTTGATTTAAAGCAGGGTTACCATCATCTAGAACTCAATCTACATTCCCGTAGCGTAACTAACTTCATCACTCATTGTGGATTGTTTCAATATAAGCGCCTGATGTTTGGAATAAGTTCAGCCCCAGACGTGTGTATCAGCAGGTTATTCAGCAAGCGGTTAGTGACTGTAAGGGAGTTGCAAATATCTCAGATGACATAATTGTGCATGGGAAAACCACTGAGGGGCATGATGAGAGGTTAAAGCGAGTTTTGGAGAAATTGAAAGAGAAAAACCTGACACTAAATGCAGAAAAGTGCAAGTTTCACATGACCAAACTAGTGTTTATGGGTTTATGTTGAGGTAAGAGACCCGCAGAATGCTTCGGAAGTTAGAAGCCTCCTAGGACTAGCTAACTACAATGCGCAGTTTATCCCAGTTTTTTCCAAAGTAGCTGAACCTGTGCGTAACTTAACAAAGAAAGGGGGTGTGTTTCAGTTTGGAGATGAGCAGAGAAGAGCATTCATTGAGCTGCAGAGCAGATTAGTAAGTGCAGAATCCCTTGGATATTTTTACAAAGATGCCCGAACACGTATTATAGCAGACGTAAGCCCAGTTGGTCTCGGCGCAGTACTTATTCAAGAACAACAAGGAAGAAAGAGAGTTACTAGTGGTGCAAGGAAAAGTTTGAGTGCAGTAGAACAACGGTATTCTCAAACTGCGAAAGAAGCGTTGGCAGTTGTTTGGGCTTGCGAACGTTTCCATGTGTACCTGTACGGCATTGAATTCGAGCTGTACAAAGATCACAAGCCATTTGAGACAATATGCTAAAGCAGATCAAAGCTGTACGCAAGAACTGAGGATCCTGAGGCTACAACCTTTCAGGTTCAAAGTTAAATACTTGCCAGGAGAGCAGAACATTGCAGATCCCTTATCCCGCTTACAGTTAGCAGAAAATCAAGCAGGTCCTTCGGCAGCGCACAAAGTATCAGATTAATTTGTCAGATTTGGGGTAGTAACCGCTACTCCGCGCGATGACAACACGCGAGCTTGAAGGAGTGTCAGCAGAAGATGAAGAATTCAGTGAGCTGCGTCACCGTATAAAGAGCGGAACCTGGAGGGATGGCCACCTCAAGCAATACATATCTGAAGCCAGTGAACGGTGTGTGATTGGCAAGCTAATCCTCCATGGCACCAGAATTGTGATACCTAGTAAGCTGAGACCACGAGTCCTTACGCTGGCACATGAAGGGCATCCCGGTATTGTTAGTCTGATGAAGAGGTTGTGATCAAAGGTATGGTGGCCCGGGATTGACAAAGGCACAGAAAGATTTCGCATCACGTGTTTTGGATACCAGCTAGTAAGCAGAACTGCCCACCCTGAACCAATCAAGTCAACCCCCTTACCACGAGGTCCATGGCAAGACTTGGCCCTGGATTTATTAGGTCCTTTACCGTCAAGTGACTCCATGTTAGTCGTGTTGACTACTTCAGCAGATAGTACGAAATTGAGATCATGTGTTCCACAACATCTGAGAAGATCATTGAGAGTCTGGAGAGAATCTTCATGATTCATGGTTTACCACTATCAATAACCAGTGACAATGGGCCGTAGTTCGTCTTAAGTGAGTTTGAAAGATACTTGAAAGGCTGTGGTATCGAACTCAGGAAGAGCACGCTATTATGGCCCCAAGCACACGGCGAGGTGGAAAGGTAGAATCGATCTCTTTTGAAAAGGATGCGGATCGCGCAAGCTGAAGGCAAAAAGTGGAAGAAAGAAGTTCGCAGTTACTTGATAGCATACAGACTGACTCATCACACCACCACCGGAGTGAGTGCAGCAGAACTTCTGTTTGGAAGAAAAATCCGGACCAAGTTACCTGAATTCCGAGAAGACAGTGTAGCGAGTGAAGTGGAAGACAGAGACGAAGAATGAAAGCAAAAGCTAAGAAGACAAGAAGAGGCATACAGAGTATTCAAATCTGGTTCCAGGTGACAGAGTACTGCTAAAACAAGAGAAGCAAAACAAACTGTCGACACCATTTGCACCAGAACCGTATGATGTTGTTAGTAGGAATGGCAGCAGCATTATTATCAAATCTCCTGAGGGTGTTCAGTTAAAAAGAAATACTGAACACGCCACAACTGCCGAGTCGAACCGTTTCTCTGCCTGTTAAAGAAGACGTTCGAGCAGAGAGTCCTACTTACCGACGGATCTCGAGACGGATGGTGAAAGTAAAGGAATGCTGTGTCAACTTACTTCGTTAGTGTTATTATTGAACTACGTGACTTGCAGTCAAGTTTACACTAGTTGTGCAGCTAAGAAGTTTTTCTCGTTTTTCCTCGTAGTTTCTAAGTTCGTTTTATGTTTTCCCTTGTAGATAGTGTTCTGAAAAAGCAAGGGATGTAGTGTGCTTTCAGTATAGGTTACATGATAATCTGATTGTACAAAGATTGATGGGATTGATTTGCAAAAACATGGCTGGTTAGATCCGGAGTGTTCCTTGTGTAGACAAAAAGACGCTGTGGAAGCGTACATTTGGGCGTCGATGTACTACGCTAGCGTGAAGTTTTTTTTAAATGTGAATTAGGGTTGTGTGAGTAGTCCAGTAGTGTTGTATACTTTAGGGGTTGGTTGAGATGCTGTATTGGACGTGGATTGGTAAGATAATGCCTCTAGTTTGTTAATCAGTGAAACTGGTTTCACGTAGAATTTAATATGCATATGAAGTAACAAAAAAAGATTTTTTGGAAGGTTAAAGTGATTTTAGGTGTTACAATGAGGTAGCTGTGAGAGTGCTAATTTGGTTATGAAGTGGAGTGTACAGTTACAGTCTGTTGAAATGAAGTGGTGGTTGTGAAAGATCTTGTCAATAGTCAAAACCATACTTATACTTTTTTGAACATTGCCAGCCTTTCTGTTTAGGATTGTTTTTCGGTTATTATTGATATTTATCTGGAGAGAACGTGGATAAGGGAAAGTTTATGTAATATAGACAAGGGGGTATGAAGATGTTTAGCGAGTGGGGCTGGAATTTTGTGTGCGTGTTCGGGGGCTTTGAAAAATCGGTGAGGTCATAGTCTGGGAGCAAATGTCATAAAATAAGGTCCCGTGTGAAGTTCGTGCTGAAAGCAAGCACCTAGTGTAAAAGTGTTCATTAGGTCCTACTAAACATGAAAAGTTTTGGTGCCAGCTTTGCCGCTTGCTCAGACGGCTTTTAAGGGGGGGTTAAATTCTGACCCATGAAATCCAGCGTGAAAACGAGGCTAAAACACATAATTCCTCATAACTTTGTTAATAATAGACGAAAATACACCAAACTTGCTCACATGATTGGGCATGATCCTCCCTGTTGATTTATGCTAATTTACATAGGTCACGTGACCTTACGCACGAAAGCGAGGCTGAAACACATAATTTACTATAAATTTGTCAAAAAAAATCCTTATCATGCCAAACTTGCTCACCTTAGTCAGTTAGACATCTTGCATCGATTGGTGCCACTTTGTAGTGTCACGTGACCCCATACATGGAAATGAGGCTGGATTGCAAAACACGCCAAAGGTGAACACATCATCCAGGACAATAACGTTGACTCATTGTAATGCATATTAATGCCGTATGTATAGCATTTGAATGAAAAAAATAAACGCTAAAAAGGTGTAATGATAATGTATTTCGTGTGGCTTATATACCTTTATTATGAGCGATTTCTAAAATCCTATTTCGCACAAATTCCTGTGGATTCTTAACCTAGGGGGCCTGGGTGATTGTGAGCCTGAACTATTGGTCAGCGGTAATTATTTGAGTGTCCGCCGTGTTGTACTTACAGTCATCACAGTGCTTGTAGTATGACGGATTTTGACCGGTCTAATGCCCCTTTAGATTTTAAGCTATGTGTAATCTGCCAAGAAAAAAGTACAGCCAATCTTGTTGAAAATCCAACTTCGCATCAAAAGCTTTTAGAAGCCATCGAAGAACGTTCAAAGTACGAGGACATCAACTCGAAAACATTGTGGCTTGTGCTTAAAGATCTACCACTAGAAGAGCTTAAAGAAAAAGCAACATGGCATAGGTCGTGCTACCAAGAAACCACCCACTCAGGAAAGATCAAGAGGGTAAAAGAGAGGTTTCAGAGAGAGGTTAGAGGGCCAAATGAAGCTCGAAGAAAGACAAGTGAATCGCTTCAGGTAATTGCTAGGTGTAATGGCTTATAACTTTAACTTTTTATTTTATTGTGTTTTTCATCTTGGAATCGCTGTAAAGCTGGTTATGACATCCTTGACATCTCAAAACATTTCATTTCATTTCACTAACCAGGGTCTTCTTACAAGGTCGAAAACCGTCCCTTATGACAGCAATCTGTGCTTTTTTTGTGAAGAGAAAGCGAAGTACCAGAACCCTCTGCATTTGGTGTCAACATCATCTGCTGGTAGCTCTCTTGATAATGCAGTAAAGCAATCAAAGGATCCTAAACTGCTCGTGAAGCTCTCGACGGCTCTAGACAGCACTGACGCTCATGCCATTGATATTAAATATCATAAAAGCTGCTGGGCGAAGCATGTGAGTGGGGTCCTGCGTAAAACTATCAAAGATGACGAGGAAAGGTCAAGAAGTGAGACAGCGGCTAAGCTGGAGTTTTTGAACCTTACCCAAGCTGCCCTCGATAGCGGAGAAATACTCAACATGGCACAGTTGGAACAGGCTTTTGATTCCATTTCAAACGAGAACAATAGTCCAAAGACTCTAAGTCGACGTTCAGTTAAAGAGCTTATCCAGAAAGAGATAAAGGGAGTTGAGTTCCATAAGCCCTCTAGAGCTAATGAGCCCGAGAGGGTCAGCGTAAAGCAGTGTAGAGATACCGCTATCCATATCGTAGAATCCACAGCTCACAGTGATGAATCTATGAAAACTCTCTTCGATGCCGCTTCAATATTGAGAAAGGCTATTAATCGAAGCGAGAAATGGGTCTTCTCTGGCTCTCTGGATACAATGACACATGATCACTGCCCCGAAGAGCTTACCTGCTTCTTTAGGTGGATAATCCAAGGTCCCAATAAGACACTATCTGATAAAAAGTGCAATGAGGTACACAAAAGAGCAATGCAATTAGCGCAGAATACAATAGCTTTGTGTCTAACGGACAGGCAGGTTGACAATAAGAGGTCAAAAGCGGTCTACTGCACTAGAGAAATGTCCCAACACCTCGCAGTTAGCCTAGCAATACACCAAGCAGTACGAAGCAAAGAGCTGGTTAATCTCCTCCATGGATTTGGCATGGCTGTAGAGTACAATCGCTTGTTGAGGGTGGAGTCACAAATTGAGAAAACTGTCCTGAAGCGCATAGAGCAAGGTGGCATGTTTCTCCCTCCGGATATCGTGAAAGGACGGCACGTATATTTTGCTATTGATAATATCGATTTCTCAGAGGATACGCCGGACGGGAAGCGTACTCTACACGGCACAGCAATGGCTATTTATCAGAAAGTGGAACCCCAAGATGAAGAACCTGTATTAAGGTACCATAACTGTTCTACTAAGAAGCATGATGCACTCATTTAATCCCAAGTGCTCGATGGGAGGGGATTAATTAGATAATAGACGTTTAATTTTACTTTTACTTTGGCTTGACTGGTCTGTGTGATTCAGGTTTTTCTTTGTTTCAATAAGACTAGCTAGTAAGTTAAAAGCTAATCTCATTTCTAGGATGTAGGATAGAAAAGATCCCCTTCTTGAACAGCATTTTGCTTCATAAGTAGCTGTTGTTGCGTTTTGTTTTTCATTTTGATAGGTTAGAGGAGCCAAATGATTCATGCCGTTCTGTAACCGAACTGCCCGAATCGCTGACATCTTTAATGCCATGCGTGGAGCCGGCATCAAGGCCCCCTTCTCCTGCGTACCCTACATTTGAGCTGTCATCAGAACAAGAGTTGCCCCAAAACATCCGTGATGAGAATGCTACCTGGATAGTGTCTCGTACTCTTACAGGCCATGATGCCCCAAGTGATGATGATAATGATCAGCCTCCTGTACCCGTATGGTCAGCGTACAACTCTTTGTTAAATGAAGCACTACCTGTCACACGTGTCGGTGCTCCTCCATTGTTGGCACATCCTGCTCATGAATGGAGCACGCTCCTCACAGTTCTGATGCGTGCTCAAAATATCTCTGTTAGAGTAGTCGGTCCCGGGAGGAAAACAGTCATATCGCTAGACCTTGGTTTGTATCTGCCCGCTAAACGACTACAGATGGCCCGATGCGAGCTCAAGAACATTCTCCTTCAACAAGGGGAGCTGCATGTGGTTATGGCTATGCTGAGGACCATTGGGTCATATATTGACAGTAGCGGGATAGACATGTGCTGGATCGAGTCGGAACTTTATGGCCCCTCCACTGTTAAACAGATAATCGATGGCAAGCATGTTAAGCGTGGTAAAAGAGCACACATGATCACCTTACAGGCTTTATTTTCCTTATACCTGGAAGCATTTCTAGAAGGCTCTCCTGATGTACGTCGTACCCTCGAGGAACTCTCTACGAAAGTTGGAGATGCGTGCAAAGAAGGCACTAAGGAGAACATCCAGACGGCGCACCATAGCTCTACCAATGCGATCCAGTCTTCTGAAGTAGTCAAGAAGATGTCTGATTTTGACGCTGCGAATGCGACAAATCCTCTCTTTACTGTATTTCGCCAATACATGCGCATGGTAATGGAGATGTTCGCATTCATCCAGGCAGTCCGCAGTGGTGATTGGAAGCTCCATCTAATTGCACTCGAGTTGTTCACAAAGTACTTCTTTGTGCACGACAAGATCTGTTATCTAAGGATGATCCCCCTGTACCTAGCTGAAATGGCATCCCTCGAATCATCAGACCCCGAGATCTATGGAGAGTTCATCACAGGAAACTGGGTAGTGAACAAGAACAAGGAGGTTCCCTTCTGTGCTGTTGGTGGTGATACTGCGTTGGAACACCTCAATCGATCTATGAAAGTTTCTGGTGGGCTTGTAGGGATCACTTTGAATGAGAGCGCACGAGCCAAGTTTTTCCTCATTGCCCCAGAACTAGCCCGACTCACAGCGGAAGCCAAGGCAATGGCTGGTCTCGTTCCGGAACGTGCACACCATCAAGAACTAAACTCAGCTGTTTTGACGCACGAAGATAACAGCATAAATAAGTTGACCGAGACAATCAAGACCTTCACCAATCCCTTTTCATCAGACCAGAACACCAACACCGATCTGTACAACTTGGTCACAAAAGTTGTGATGAATGAGAAAACGAAGAAAGATCTTGTTAATCAGAGTGAAGAAGGGAGAAAGCTATTCAGTGCTTTTGTACAAGATAGGATCAAGACAGGAAAGATCAACCTTTGGGCTCCTGTAAAGAAGCGCAATCTTCTTACCTGGAAAACGAGTGCTAAGGTCATCAAAGTCAAAGCTAAAGACACGATCATCGAGTTAAAGGAGGACAGAAATCTGTTTGCTCGTTTGGCGATGGTGTGCAAGAGCCGCCAAGAAATTGACATCCAAGAGGCTGTTGGCTTATATGAGTTCACTGTTGTCCCAAGATCTTTGTTTGCACGAGATGGTACCATGTTGCATTGTTCTTGCAAGAGTGCCCTTATGCATATCCTAGAGAAGGCAGGTGGCCCTAGTACTAATACACAAGAAATCACCGCAGGATTCAAAGTCGCGATTGTTGATGAAATGGCCGAAGTCCAATCACTTGACAAGCCAGAGTGGATCAAGAACTGTAGAGACTTGGCTGAACATTTCACGAATCGCTTGCTTGTAAAGTATAATGATTTACAAGAGCTCCACATAATCTTCGACAGATATGATGTACCATCCTCACTGAAATCAGCAACACGAGTCAAACGACAAGGTGGCCATGTTCCCATTTATTATCGCATCACTGATTCTACCCACATCGCCAAGCTGTCGATGAAGAAGCTTCTTGCTCATTCAAAGACCAAGGGCGAACTTACTACGTTTCTCGCAAAGAATGTGAAGGATAATGCTAATGGGAGACAAGTCGTTGTGGCATGGGGAACGGAATGTGAGGCAACGCACAGAGACGTTAGGCATTTACGAAGTACACAAGAAGAAGCCGACACGAAGATTATTTTACATGCTCTGGATGCCTCTGCTCAAGGTGCTACCCAACTCTCTATATATTCTCCTGACACTGATGTTCTTGTTTTGGCTCTTCGACGGTATCTAGATTTGTGCTCGAACTCTTGCTTTGTTACTGGGACCGGCAGTAGTCGTAGAGTTATCAACTTGAAGTCAATCGCAGACGCCCTTGGGCCCACTAAGACGGCTGCGCTGCCAGCATTTCATGCGTTGACCGGAGCAGATGTTACTGGGAGTTTCTCTGGAAAGGGAAAAGCCACTTGTTGGGATGAGTTTGATAACGCCAGCACTCCTATCTTGCAAGCTCTTGCTAACCTCGGTTGTGGGGAACAGCCAGATGACGGCACAAGAAGTGGAGTGGAACAGCTGGTTTGTCGGATGCACAAACCAAAGACAGACATCAAAACTGTCAAAGCCCTCAGATGGTCCATCTTTAAGAAAAATCAAGCTGAGTCTGAGAGGTTGCCGCCCACACAAGCTGCTCTCCATCAAGCCATACTGAGAGCGCACTACCAGCTTCTTGTTTGGAACAATGATCATGTAGCAAACCCGGTGTTGCCCTCACCAGAAGGCTATGGATGGCAAGATGAAGATGGAAAGTGGGTACCAGTCATGACAAATCTTCCACCAGCTCCAGAGGCAATTATACAGCTTGTCCGATGCAAGTGCGCCAAGTCCCGTTGCTCTAACAACCGTTGTCAGTGTCAAAAAGCCAGACTTGTCTGTACTGATCTCTGTCTGTGCTCTGAAGATTGCCAGAACGAGTATGCTGAGAGTGATGATGAGTATGATGAAGACGAAGTCGAACAGGAAATTCCATAGGAATGGACAACAGAACAATGTATATAGATATTCAGTAAGACTTTCATGACTGTATATATAAAATAGCAGTAGTCGCTATTTTCATTTTCTGCCCTTGTTCCAATATACATGCGAAATTGAATACATGGAACCAGTATCATAAGTTGGCAAAATTATTGATCATGTGTACAAGATAGATTCTCAAATGGAACCTCCGCAGTATTTGCTTTATCCGTCTCGTCCCTGTGCTATGAGCCATAGGACAATGATAAGTTGAAGTTTTTATATCTGAACTCAGATAACCAGATATGTATCTGCCCAGTAGTTGTTAATACATTTGGCAAGACAAATGCCATCCTACACGATGCTACCAGATATATCCAGCCTCGTTTCCATGTATGAGGTCACGTGACACTACAAAGTGGCACCAATCGATGAAAGGTGTCTAACTGACTAAGGTGAGCAAGTTTGGCATGATAAGGATCTTTTTTGACAAATTTATGGAAAATTATGTGTTTCAGCCTCGCTTTCATGCGTAAGGTCACGTGACCTATGTAAATTAGCATAAATCAACAGGGAGGATCATGTACAATCATGTGAGCAAGTTTGGTGTATTTTCGTCCATTATTAACAAAGTTATGAGGAATTATGTGTCTTAGCCTCGTTTCCATGTTGGATTTCATGGGTCAGAATTTAACCCCCCTTAAAAGCCGTCTGAGCAAGTTGCAAAGCTGGCACCAAAACTTTTTATGTTTAGTAGGTCCTAATGAACACTTTTACACTAGGTGCTTGCTTTCAGCACGAACTTCACACGGGACCACATTTGCTCCCAGACTATCAAGGGGGAGGGCGTAAAAAAGGCTTTACAACTAAGGGCCTGATCATATGAGCCGGGGCTGGCTCGTGTTGCAGAGATCCCGGACCTTAGTTGAACGAAACAAAAATCAACTTTGCCATTATATGGCAACCCAGCTAGCCCGGATAGCTGGGATCCGCTTGCCGGGCGGTATTGTCACGCAGTTTGCACTTGAAAGCTTTGGAATTTGCCGCTTTCGTGGTTCGTGTATAGAGAGAATACAACTTAATCTAATTAACCTAAGGGTCTAAAAATAGCTGTCACGCACGCGGTTTGCACGTGAAGATTTTGGACTCTGTCCCTTTTAGGGTTCGAACGTGAAAGAACTTGTTGTTGAGATCATTTTGACCCATTTTGCTCGATAACATTTTAAGAAATCACCTCCTTTTCCGAAAATCCGCGATGAAATTATGCTTCATTCAGTGTTACCCTTATTTATCTCATGCACGATGACGGAATTTTGCTTGACATCTTCTTTGGCTCTCGACAACTGAGGGCAAAGATATTGTCAAACTCTTGGCAATAAGCCATTTACTAGCAATAAATAGTTCAATAATCTAAAATACTATGGGACGGGAACTCCTGATACAATAAAAGAAAATAGTGTTGAGTTAAGTTGAGCAGATATGTGCGCTAAATATGTAAATAATACAACAACAACAACCAGTATTACCCTTTTGTACAGGTGTTACCGATTAAAATAACAACAAGGAGGTATGGAGCGTACACTTCGGCGTTGTGGTTGTGGAATTAATTGCAATTGCGGAGGAATAGTAAGAAATGATATATGATAGGTGTCAATTTGTGAAATAATGGCATTTGTCAGGATATTCTGAAAAGAGCAATATCCAAGAGGCCTACTTGCCAAAACCTAGCATTTCGGGGCAAAATTTAATTGTCTTTGAGATATTACCCCAGTTATGCTCTAAACGCTTAGACCCAAGTCAAATATGAAGTTACTGGCGGTGAGTAACAAGTCAAACAAAACAAAAAATTTTACATCAGGCTTCAAAAACAGCATAACAGTCTCATGTACTGATTACTCATGTACTGCGGTCAGAAGACGATTATTGTACATGCCAACTCTCCTGGATACGGCACCAATTTCCCACTCTCCCGTACGGGTCACCATACCTCCCCGATAAAGTCATCTTTTGAGCTTTTCTGTGCCTAGGTTTGAAATTTAGCCCATTTTTAGCTCAAAACGTGAATTTTTTTTACACTGACAAAGATTATTATTATTATTTCTAGCATAAAAACGATGATTGCGATTTTTGATAGTATGTACTTCATGTAAGACTTCATTTAACGTCCTTACTCATTCCCATTGGGGGCTGAGTTATTTGTCGGGGGTTGGAGAGGGGGGGGCGTTTAAATTTCGGGGGGGGGTAGTGCAGAAAAGAGCGTCTCCGTCTCCAGATTTTAGATCTCCAGAGGTTGGCATCTCTGCGATTATGTCGAAGTCCCGGGGGGGGGGGGTACTCCCCTATAAAAGTGTCGGGGGTGCTCGTCGTACCTTTTAGGGGTTTAAATTTGTGGATTGGTACCACTTAGGGTGCTAATACCGAAAATGACTGCTGCCAGACGTGTCTCGGTAAGATTTATGACAATACTTTCAAAAAGTTCTTGGTGATCACTTTTATCATAGATTCCCCAAACTTCGGAGCAATACGTTAAAATTGGAAAAAAATAGTGTATTGAACAGTTTGTTGATGATGTAAATTGGTAATTTTAGAACATCTAGATAACGACGAGCGGCAAAAAGGGACCTCTTTGTTTTTTTCTGTGAAGTTTTCCTTGTGATTTGTAAGATTTCCATTGGCAGAAAATTTCACTCCAACTAGGTATAATTATTGACGATTTCAAAGTGTTCCTTGCTAACCATAAAATTGTCTTTATCCATTGTTGATTTTCTACTACTCTTCTTTCTGAAATACAATAACTTTTGTTTTAGTTGGATTAATCTTAAGAAGCCAATCCTGGCCGTATTTTGATAGTCTGTCAAGACTTTGTTGCAAACCTTCTGCCGAGTTACATATGCCAGAAGTAAATCATCGGTATGGTAGTAGACAGTTTAAGTGAGAACCGTCTTTTAGTAAGATAGAATCTTTAGCATTGTTGTTTAGAATGAAGGGTAATTCGTTTAGATAAAGGTTAAAAAGAAGCGGGGACAGAATACAGCCTTGTCGAACACCTTTATCATAATTGAAAAATTCTGATCGAGTATAATTGTCTTTCACACAACATATTGAATAGGGATACATGTTGGAAATTATTCAATGAGGTGCCACCTATGTTATATTTCAACAGTTTGTATAGTAAACCTTGATGCCAAATTGAGTCAAATGCCTTCTTAAAATCAACAAAACAAGTATAAATTTTTCCTTTTGGGGAGTGGGTAACATGTTGGTCTATTTACGTTTTTAAATTAAAGATATGCTCAGACGTACGCTGTCCGGGCAAAAAGCCAATTTGGAAGCGATGAAGTATTTTATGTTTGTTTGAAAAGTTTAATAATCTCGTATTTAAAAGACTTTGCCGAGACAACTGCTAATGCAAATACTTCTGTAATTTGAAAGGTCATCTTTGTTTTCAGATTTATGCAAGGCAGTGATTGTTCCGGCCACTACTCCCTGATGTAGGAAATATTCCAGATTGTAGAATCGAATCAGATTAAAAAGTTTCTCAAGTGGATATTTTATAAATCTTGAGCTTGTTTAAATCATTTTAATTACGGTCAGTATAAAACATTGACTGCGGACCGCGGACCACTGACTGCGGACTGGGTATAAAACACGGACTAGGTGTAAAATGAGGACTACGGACTGAGTATAAAACACGGATTAGGTATAAACGCGGAATACGGACTAGTATATAAAAACGGCTTTAGAAAGGTAAAAATGAGAGAAACGGAAAGCGGACTAGCATAAAACAGTAGTCGTAGCTCCTTGCCTCACACACAAAGATTCCTTTAGCTGGTCACGCAGTCTATTCTCCCCAACGTCAGTGTCATGTGAGAAAAGCATACTCCACGGGCAAGGAAGGTTATGCCGCTTCTCAAGGCAACTGAAATTAAACTCTGAATTTTATAAAAAGAAGGATTTAGAAGAGAATTCAATTTATAGTTTTAAACCAATAAGAAGCACCGAATAAAAAAATATTGGTGTTAGTTAGAGTAAAATTCTTATAGAAGCCAGTTCCGTTTCAAATAAAGCCTTAGCTTGGGAATACGAGGAAATGAAGAACTCAGACTAGAAGGTCAATATAGGGACATTCACCGATGTAAAAAAGCAGTATTTAGGCGGAGAGATTACTCACCTATACGTGAATAATAACCGAAATGAATCATCCAACGTTATATTCTATGCGATGATTACGATGACATGATTTACAACCTGCTCCTGGCCCCCTGAGGGGGGTTTTCCGGGGAATTCTTGGTAGGGGTGTGCCGCCCGGTTCTCCAAATCCTGACCCGATTTCAGAAAAAAAAATGTCATTTTCAACACCCGTTTTCAGTCCGATCTCTAAAATCCATAGCAATTTTCAGACCTGGTCTATTTTAGCCTGTTCCAGGCTCTCATATAGTGGGGGAGGCTCCCCAGTTTCCTCCCGTTTGATTTTCGTGTTCGCGCTTTCTCAATTCAGTGGACCCAACTATCTCGGAGCCTGGAACAGGCTAGGCCTAATTGGGCAAAAATTATGCCATCATTACCAGATTAGAGCGCAAACAAAAACATTCGTCAAATGCATTTCTAATTCGCGTATTTCTATTTCTTTCTTATTCATTTGGAATTGAAAAGATAAATTCGTTTATACATGTACGCTCCCGTAGTTCCCTTGAATCCTAGCCTCCCACGCAGACGTTCTTAGGGGTTCGTCACGCGTTCCTGCCCCACGAACGTCTGCTGAACCTAAAGATAAATTTCTTTGAATTTCTTTGAATCTTAAGCATCCTAAACACAGCCGTCTCAGACTGGAAGCCTATCATCATCTATAAATAGAAAACTCTAAATAGCCTATAGGTAGATGTTCTCAAGAAACGATGCTCTGCAATTCGTAAAACACGGCGATCTACTGAGTAGACAAAATTAAGGTAGGCTTTCCCTTAACATTCACCAAATGTTTTAAGAAAGCGGTTAAAACATAAAAGGTTAAATGGTGAAAA